TTTCAAAGGAACGCCTCCAACTCGTAAGGGGATTTCACTTTCCGCGCGACCGTCGACCCACATTTCCACCGCTCCAGTGCAAGGGAACGTTTCAAATCCCCGTTGTCGACCCCAGGCATGGGAGCTACCACCGCCGTCAATCGAGTTGAGCGGATCACCTTCAACTATCCGCCCCTACCTGAAATCAAATTCTGCTTCGTAGTGATCGCCGCCACTTTGGCCTATGGTTTGTATAAAGTCCTTGAAGCTAGTCGTAACTATGTATGGATTATGGGTGACTATGGAGTACTTGTTGAGCTACCCTTCTTCGGACCCGTCATGAAGGTTAGTAATACCAGTTGTTTTTTTGCCCAAGTACCCCATTCAAGGCTATTTCAGGATGTCAGCAGCTGGGAATGGAACAATTATTCTCCATTTGCATGGCAATATTTGCCGGTATTCATGGCCCATACCGTGGTCTTCAATTTAGGATCAAAATTCCTTCCTGATTTACCTTTCACTATAGTTTATACTTTGCTGAGCGCAGCAACATGCGTCTACTATTTTACACCAACATTGGTGGCCCTTTCTCTGTTTGAGGGCACTCTGATGTTTGCTGCCTCTCAATATTTCAGGTAAGATTTTCATACACATATCATATTTCTTATGTTTTTATAAGTTGAATTTTTATTCTCTGCTTTTACCCATTCAAAATACCAGTTCATAAAGGTCAGAGAAAGCTTATAATTGCATAGCCGACCAGCGGCCTCAAAGGGTTCAGCCTTACCCAGCCCATCTTGCTTGGAAGTAATGTTCGCGATTGTTTTGAAATACCCTCTGAGAGTTCAATAACGGAAGTTATGATGCAGAAAAGAGCATTGGTAACGAAGAAAACGACAAAACCAGCAAAATGAGGAAGATTTGAACCCCAAAAAAGGGTAATTGGGGGTTGTACGAGATTATGACGACGGAAGGAGTATTTGGACGAGATTCCGGTCGTATGCAATTGTTCTAAGAGTTGACCACAGTATTCCTGCGTTCAAGAATTCCTCTGAACTTTCGCTATACGTGGCGACTAACTGTTTGAGTTTCCAACATGTATACGCCATTGTGAATGGTGCAGCTCTACAAGGCCGTTGAAACCGGACATTGAACCTTCATTGCCTCCTTCGTACCAGTTTTTTGACCCAACAACTTCCCTCGTGGCACAGGTGGGGAACATTCGTCTGAGTGGAAGATTCAGAGGCATTTTTCGTCCTTCATCTGTAACCGTACCACCAC